AGGAGGAGGTGGGGGAGGAGGAGGAGGAGGAGGAGGAGGAGGAGGAGGAGGAGGAGGGTGGCGGGGGGCGAGTCGACCCCCAATCGCCCCGCCCGCCCAAAGCCCGCCGCTCCGATTCTCCTGGCGCGTCGGCTCACTGCTGGGGGGCACATCCGCCGCCCTTGGCCAGGCCCGCCTCGGGGCCCCCGGGAGGGGCGCGCGCGCGCCGCCCTGGCGGGGCCAAGGGGCGAGGGGCGTGCGCACGGCTCCCTGGCCCAGGATGGGCCCTGCCAGGGGAGATGAATCTGCACCCAGACACCGGCGTTGCCCCAGCATATGAGTACGATGGAGCAGGAGGAGGACGAGGAGGAGGAGGAGGAGGAGGAGGAGGAGGAGGAGGAGGATATGCACCCCGACCTTGGCTCGTCCTGCGCGGAAAAAGCCACGAAGCCGAAAAATGCACGGGGAGGGGACGTCCCAGCGATGGTCTCTGCTGGCTCAGTTCCTGCTCGTCAGCATCATCCCCGCCCTGATCCACCCAACAGCTCCTTCCTACCTCCCCCCTTGTCTCGGCGTCGCTCCAACACATTATTACCATGTGTGCGTCGCCCCCCCACAGGGGCGACGCGCGCACCGAGAAATCTTATAGTATATACGTCGACGCGAGCGCTTTCTTAACACACCGCTCGGGAAACGATCTACTACAAGATGGGTATACTACATGTTCGGGTCAGACGCGCGCCTCCAAGGAGGACATCTAGTACTAGTATGTCTCTGTGCGTCCCACACGACCATCCTCTGCAGCACCGGTCCAAAGCGCCGTCGTCGTCGTCTTCGTCGTCCGTGGTCCGTGGTCGTCGCCGTCGCCGTCGTCGTCGCCGTCGTCGTCGTCGCCGTCGCAGTTGCCGTCGCCGTCGTCGTCGTCGTCGTCGTCGCCGTCGTCGTCCTCGTCGTCGCCGTCGCCGTCGCCGTCGCCGTCGCCGTCGCCCTCGTCGTCGTCCTCGTCCTCGTCGTCCTCGTCCTCGTCCTCGTCCTCGTTCGCCTCGTCTTCCTCTGCAGCGCCAGCCGAAGACCGTCCCCGCCCGCCGAGGGCCACGGCCTCACGAACGCCGCGGACTCGAGCCACCTCATCTGGGGCGGGCTCGCGCGTGGTCGTGGCGTGCCGAAGCGTGAGCAGCCCCACCCCCCCCCCCCCCCGATCCTGGCCCTGCTCCTCCTCCTCATGCTCCTCCTCCTCCTGCTCCCTCCTCCCTCCTCCTCCTCCTCCTCCTCCTCCTCCTCCTCCTCCTCCTCCTCCTCCCTCCTCCTCCCGCTCCTCCTCCTCCTCCTCCTCCCCCTCCTCCTCCCCCTCCTCCTCCTCCTCTTCCTCCTTTTCCTCCTTTTCCTCCTCCTCCTCCTCCTCAACGAGCCGCAGTCAAGGTCAACAATCGGAGGCCCACAAAGGCCGACCTACCGCGTGAGAGAGCACACATCCTTGGACTGGCTTTTGAAGCTCTGACGGTATGCGGCTGAGACACGGGGGTGTATTCGGCGGCTTGCTTGTCAAATTGGTCGGCTAACTGATTACCGAGCTAAGCAAGGGCCGTGATGCGACCAGCAAAGAGATCAGAGCGCGACGTGTACGCATTGATGCCATGCCTCTGTCATCGATGGCATGCCACACAAGCTTACAGATATCTGCCCACGCAGACTAAGCCGAACAGCAAAATTGGCCGAACAGCAAATTGTTTCACCGGGTGGGGGGGAGAACGCGGGGAGGGGGAGGGGGGGGGGGGGGGCAGGCCTGTCTTCACGGGGAGCGCGGTTGGCCTCATACTGAAGACGGCGTCTTCTATGTACGCGTCGCTGATGCAAAATCCCGTTTGCCAGCCTGGCCAGGCGTCGGTCGGTCAGTCGGTCGGTCGGTCGGGCGGGACACGTCGTCGACGTCGTTGTGGGCGAGTCGGTCGGTCGGGCGGGCGGGATAAGTCGTTGTTGCCGTCGTCGTTGTCGTCAGCTCCCATGAGCACTATGAACACCGAAATTACCTGGCTTCAAAAGATAGGTGCCAGGCTACCCGCCAACCTCGGAGCCACTACTATGGACTTGATGACAATGCGTGCCTGCGCTGAGCGGGCGATCGCACTTGGGCGGCAGCTCTGTCCGTCGTTGCTTGCGCGCTGGGGTGAAACAGTTACGCGGAGGTAGTTCGCTGCGCTGCGTGCGAGCCTACGAAGATGACGGCATCGCGGGGCGTCTGTTCCAGTTGACAACGTTGTCTTCCCTCTCGATACATTCCCCTCCACATCTCTGCTCAGGGCAACTCGCTGGCCGTAACACTCACGTGCTGGCCTGTCCAGTAGGGGCAGCCTCAGGCGCGCGGCCTCACCCGTAGCAGCGGATCGTGTCGGTGCACCCCTTCGCCGCACTCTAGGGGCTGCCGCCGCGCCCGCCCCTCTCGAGGTACTGCTGGTGGTAGTCCAAGCTGGCTGCTGCCCGAATCATCTCGCACTGGTTCTCTTCGTAACAGCGACAGGAGGCGCCATCCGCCAAGACTTTGGGGTGGGCCCGCTGGACAAATTTGGAGCCTGTGCAGAAGTTCGTGCGCTGCAGCACGTTCTTGGCGACGGTGCTGGTGGCCGCGCGCTGCTCGTCGCAGACGACGTCTCCCCTCGTTGAGTCCTCGTCTCTGTCCTCGTCCTGTGTCCTGGGCCTCCTCCTGCGCCGGCCTCAGCCTCCTCCGCGTCCTCGCCCTCCTGCGCCGCCTCCTCCCCCTCCTCCCCGCCCTCCTGCTCCACCTCCTCCGCCTCCTCGCCCTCCTCTCCCTCACCCTCGGGCCTGCCTCGCACTCCTCCGCCTCCTCTGGTCCCCTCCTCTGGGCCGCCTCGGGGACACCCCCGGCGACTGGGGGCACCGCCGTCTCCCGGCCTCGCGGCCGCGTTCCCGTAGCACGGCCAGTCGCGTCCTTGCCGCGCCTCTCCTTGCCGCCGTCCTCCTCACTTCTCGCCTCGCTCTCCTCCTCCTCCTCCTCCTCCTCCTCCTCCTCCTCCTCCTCCTCCTCCTCCTCCTCCTCCTCCTCCTCCTCCTCCTCCTCCTCTTCCTGCCTCCTCTGGGCTCTCTCAGCGCTCCTCAGTCACCTCCTCGTGGTCTAGCCCGCAGGAGTTCGCGCACGCAGTCCCTCGGCGGTCGACGCTCGAGGTTCGAGGAGTTGTTTGGTGCGTTTTTGTTCTGCTCTGGGCCGGTGTCCAACCTCGGGGTACTCTCTAGCAGCTGCGCCTCGCCGAGAGCATTCGGGGGGCGCTGGTATCATCTAGAACGGCCGCCAGAGTCTTGAATTATGACCCAGAAACTGAGCAACGAGGATTTTTGAGGCAGGCTTTCTCGGAAGGCGGCGGGGCTTCTCAAAAGTCTTCGAAGTTCTCCGTGCCTTGGGAGGAGGTTCAGGAATCGCAAGGCCGGAGGCCTTCCGAGCATTCTGACAAGGTCCGCCTTCTCTGCCTTCCTCCTTGGGCGCGACGCCGAGTTTGGTTTTCGGGTCACATTTTGGGCCTCTGGCGGCCGCTCGGGACGATCCAGGCACTCCCAGAGCGCTCCTAGCGCCGCACAGCTGCTGCAGAGCCTCCCGAGGGTTTGGAACCCTTTTCACGCGTGGGGGCTGCACTCCGTTCGCAAAGTGTCGACATGGCCTTCCAGGGCCCTTGTATCCTTACCGCGCATCCATATTATACGGGTTGACTGTAGGTTTTGCGCTAATCAGTCGCCCTGCGCGCCCTCCGTACTGATACTGCAGACAGGGGCGAGCAGCTGCAGGCGGTTCTCTCGGGGCCACTTAGAGGTTCAAGGAAGCACCTTGACTTCCACATCGTGCAGCCCGAGAGCGTAGAACATGGTTAACCCCATGTTCGAGGCTTCGCGACCTCACCGCATAGTAAGAGGATGGGCTGGCATTTCCGAGGAGAGGGCCACAGGCCAGCCCCTTGATTGACGCCATCCCCCTCTCGCGTAACTGACGCACACTTCCCTCGCTGCGTCCGTCCATGATTTATCGCATTCTCTCCTGCTACTCGACTGCTCAGCCGCTCTGTGTTCGTTCTCACCTCATCCACTCACTGACGATACCAGCGCATTCAAAACCACTCTCCGTCATTTAGTTACTCAGTTTGTTCCTCCGGATTGCAAACTTGTTTGGGTTATGTTGTGTTGTGCTCGCGTTCGTTGGGCACCCGCATTCACGCGCATTCACTGGGCACCCGCATTCACGCGTGGGACGCCCTCACTCCACTTGCATAGCAAAACCGCACGTTAGGGCACCCGCTCACGTATGCTCTATGTCAGATGTCAGCGGGCATGCATACCGTTTCTATACAATTGCTTCCTGATTACAGAGACCAGCCACCCTCAATGCTGTATAATCTTCCATTATCATCCTCTCCCTCCCTCCCTCCCTCCTCCCCCCTCCTCCTGCCAGTGGGGGTGGCTCATGAGGAGGCTGAATTTTGAGGCCACCTAGTTCCAGCATTTTAGTGTGCGTAATATGTAGCACTCTCATGGGTCCTATGGTTTGTGCTTGCTTGCTTGCCGGCCCCCCCTCCTCCTCCTCCTCCTCCTCCTCCTCCTCCTCCTCCTCCTCCTCCTCCTCCTCCTCCTCCTCCTCCTCCTCCGCCGAGCAGGCGTGACAGGGGGAGGGACGCGAGGAGGAGGTGGAGGAGGAGGAGGAGGACGCGAGGAGGAGGGGGGGCAGGAGTTGGATGGAGGATGGGGGACGCGAGGAGGAAGAGGAGGAGTCCATTAGTGTTTGGCAATGACAGCTATCAAGCACGACTTCCCGCTGTACCGCTTACGCTACTTCCTTTGCTTGTACAGGGGCCAGAGGGTGTTGCAGATCGGCCGCGTGTGTTCAGAGTGTGCCACGTGTTTGCAGGCCTTCTTTGCAGGCTGTAAATTTGCCACCACGCTGCTAACGTGTATCCTCCTGGACCCCATAGACCAGGTCGTTTATAATTTCCCCTCGGTTCGCCTGTATAACGCGGTCAACGAACTTATGAGCGGAGCGACGGGTAAGCCTAGGACGGTCACGAGAACGATTGCCGTTGCGACATGTATGTTATGCGGCAAGTTCGAGCAGTTCGGTGCCCCGATTTTCTTTACCAAATGTTTGATCGCGGCAATTTCTCGCGACATCGAGGTTCGTGTCATAGCTAGACTTGTGCGATGGCAGCTTCAGGTCGTGAGAATGATCAGGAATCTGGGTGTCGGGGCTACCCTTCGGGCCGACATCGTACTCCTGTCCAGTCGATGCGTTGGGCCAGTTCGGGGCCCCGTATCCATAGGTTTCGAGGCTTGCGCTCGGGATATGATGTCATGTGCGAGGTCGTCAAGACTGGTGGCATTTCTGCCGCGTTCTATGGCACTTCGGTCATTGCCTTGAACATGTCTAGCCTGATGACGCTGCGCTCTATCATCGGCCAGGCTGCGTTTGGCAAGCGCCGAGGCCGCTCTGGGACGTTCCAGTTCATCATGAACCCTTCGGTGAACCTAGACCCCGTCTTTGAGGCTACTTAATATCCTCCCGCTTAAGATGTGGCAGCAGGCAGTGAAGCAGAAGTGGGTCCCTGAGCACATCATGAGATCCTGCGTGAACAGAATACTGTACGTTAGTTTCAAGGTCCTGGGACAAAGTGCGGGGTCCTTCTGTTGATGTCTGGGCTACTTTGGAGCATTTGAGGTGGACCTTCAGAGAGTGGGACGCTTGGGACACCAGTCGTGGGTTCTCACTGGACCTCCACACGTTCGGCAAACGCACGCTTAGGCGGATCAACTACTCTACGCAAAAGAGGCTCCTGGAGCATGTTAGGGTTCCCGATCTTGAGATTCCTGGTAGGGTGGTCCCTCCCCTCATCGGGCCCATCATGGACGAGCTCAGGGGCTTCAGGAAAGCTGGAAGAAATGCCGTCATCTCCTCGCTCTGCAAGGCCTGTGGCATGGAGATTGGCACGCCCAAGCACCGCTTCTACACTTGCGATGCGTTTCTTATGATTAGGAGGGACATGATGGATCTTCCGCACTTCGTGGACCTGGGCACCAACTCGGGGACTACGATTACCTCTCGACCAGAGCCCTGGCACCTGACCCAGGGTATGAGTGGCCTACTTGCTCTACCACTGAGACGGTACAGTGGGAAAAGATGCCAGATTCGGGCTTCTTTGGCCCCAATTTGCGCATTGACGGTTCCGGTTTTGACGGCTCTTCGATGTACGCAGCACGAGCAGGTGGAGCGCCACCTCTCCTGGAGCAAATGTTTAGAGACTTCCGAGGCCCCCCACTGAGCCTGGGTAGGGGATGATCTCGCAAATTAACTTGCGAAGCGCGGCGCCCCGATGCATCCTTGTAAACCTCGCCTTCTCGCACTCCAGGGACACAAGAGTCGTGCAATGACCGATCTCAGCAAATTCGTAGCCCGTTTCGGGGAAGTGCTCAAGGAGCAGAATTTCCCAGATGCGCAGAAGTCCAAGGCCCCTCCCCGCCCAAAGCGCGATCCCCCTCCAGCTGGTTTGTGAACGCACTGGGCACGCCGTCCAGAGGACGGGCGCCCAGGGGCAGTGGAGTTTCAGATGTGCTGATTGTCAGGCCCCGGGATCTTCCGAATCCGCCGCGCGCGCACTGCCGCGCACGGGCGCCCCGAGGTTGGCCAGGCAAGCCCACCCCGGCCACAGGCTCTGGACTACGGGTGGACGCCTGACCTGGACCGTGCGGCTGCGCGCTGCCTTTGAGACCGTGCGGCTGCGTCTGATGGGGGGTGGGGGGTGGGGGGCGCGTCCTGGAGGACCCCCCAAGAAGCCAGCCGCGCAGACCCCGAAGCAAAAGGAGGGGACGGACCCGCCGTCCACCAAATCCTTCGTGGGAAGGTGTTTCCCTCTCCGACTTCGGTTGGGGCCATCGCAGGCGTGCGATGGCGCACCCGCTCAGGCTCGGCCTTTGAATTTGCTTCGCTCGTTCGTCGCCCGCCGCTTCGCTCTTTCGCCTGGAGGGAGATGGGCGCGCAAGGATCGACAGGATCGACAGGAGGAGGAGGAGGAGGAGAAAGCAGGAGGAGGGGGAGGAGGAGGAGGAGGAGGAGGAGGAGGAGGAGGAGGAGGAGGAGGAGGAGGAGGAGGAGGAGGAGGAGGACGAGGAGGAGGAGGAGGAGGAGGAGGAGGAGGGAGGAGGAGGGGGAGGGAGGAGGAGGAGGAGGAGGAGGAGGAGGAGGAGGAGGAGGAGGAGGAGGAGGAGGAGGAGGAGAGGAGGAGGAGGAGGAGAAGGGAGGAGAAGGACGAGGAGGAGGAGGACGAGGAGGAGGAGGAGGACGAGGAGGAGGAGGACGAGGAGGAGGAGGATGAGGAGGAGGAGGAGAGGAGGAGGAGGAGAGGAGGAGGAGAGGAGGAGGAGGAGGAGGAGGAGGAGGAGGAGGAGGAGGAGGAGGAGGAGGAGGAGGAGGAGGAGGGATGGGGAGGAGGAGGAGAAGGGGGAGGGGGAGGAGGGAGGAGGACGAGGAGGAGGAGGAGGAGGAGGAGGAGGGAGGAGGAGGAGGACGAGGAGGAGGAGGACGAGGAGGAGGAAAGGGGAGGACGAGGAGGAGGAGGAGGAGGAGGAGGACGAGGAGGGAGAAGGAGGAGTAGGAGGAGGAGAGTCGATTCGCCTCCCCCTCGTGCCCCCCCGGCAAACCAGGCGGCTGCATCTGCTTGTTCTCGCTCTTCTCGGCCGGCATGGAGCTCGTGCTCGCTGGCTTGCTCGGGTCTGGCCTGGGACAGCGGGGCGCTGGCAGCCGCCCTCCTCTCTCCTCCTCCGCCTCACGCCGCCACCTCTTCCTCCTGCTCCGTCCTGTTTTCTCTATCGTCCTCACTCCTCTCTCCTCCTCCTCCTCCTCCTCCCCTTCCCCTCCCCCTCCTCCTCCTCCTCCTCCGCCTCCTCCTCCTCCTTCTCCTCCTCCTCCTCCTCCTAGCCAACTTCATATGGATGCTGCTGAGGCCTTGGGCCACAGTCCAGCTCTTTTTCATGTTTCTGACTGCACGGATTGCTTCTTGTGCTTGAGGTGTGATGCATTCCTCCATCAGGGAGCTATCGCGAAAAGCAACTTTGCCAGCAGATGCACCACCCCTATATGTCGGCACGGCAATACGGTTAGAAACAAAGTGTTCGCAGGTAAGCACCCGCGCAGGAGTAACCACCACATTGTGGAGACCGTGGTCCTGCCGAGCGTCGCTCCCGGCCTTGACCACGGGCTGGCTGTGGCCGATGTTTGTAGTGATTATGATCTTGTTTTGGCGACTCGCCGTGTTGTGACAGCCCTTCGTTTGGAGGAAGCTGCGGGCGACCCGCAGGAGGCGTGTACATCTTTTTCGGAATCAGGCTACGACTTATGAACTTGCTCTGTTCTTTTACTTTTTGTGGGTCTCTGTCTGGCGGGCTTCCATCCGTCAGCACCCACAGCGGACCTCTTGTGAGGTGCTCGATCGCTGATGTGCTGCCAGCCCGGTGTCGTGCATTCGCCTCCCGCTAGTTTCACACAGCTGCTGGAGCAGCGAGAATTGTTGCTTGGTTTCTAAACAGTTGTTCAGTTACGTTCATTGCTTGCTCGCCCTTTAGTTTCTCACCTGGGGGACTGACCCAATCCCAGTGGTGTATGTGGGTAGCTCTGCGGATGTTATCCTCCTCCTCCTCCTCCTCCTCCTCCTCCTCCTCCTCCTCCTCCTCCTCTTTCCGGGCGCCGCGCAGGACTCAACCCCATCGACACCACGTTCTACATGGCGGTGCCGGTGGCCCTGCTCCTGTCCTTGCCGATCTTCTTCGTCCAGCACCCCGTGGCGTGGGCCGGGTGCCGCGGGGGGGGGGCGCAGGGGCGCGGGGGGGCAGGGCCGCGCCTCGCGGGCGGCGGCCCTTTCGGGAGGCGCGCAGACGGCGCATACAGCATTCGCCGCGGAGGAGGAGGAGGAGGAGGAGGAGGAGGAGGGAGGAGGAGGAGGAGGAGGAGAGGGAGGAAGAGGGGGAGAGGCAGGAGGAGGACGGGAGAGGAGGAGGAGGAGGAGGAGGAGGGGAGGAGGAGGAGGAGGAGGGAGGAGGAGGAGGGAGGAGGAGGGTGAAGGAGGGAGAAGGGAGGAGGGGGAGGAGGAGCAGGAGAGAGGAGGAGGGAGGAGGAGGAGGAGGAGGAGAGGGAGGAGGAGGAGGAGGAGGAGGGAGGAGGAGGAGGAGGGAGGAGGACGAGGAGGAGGAGGACGAGGACGAGGACAAGGATGACAAGGCACAGGAAGGCTGATGTCAACAGGGTGCCCCATCCCCGCGCTCAATTGAGAGCAGCCGCCGTCCATACGATTGGCCTCCACGAGGCCAGGGTCCCCCCCCAGGGACAGTGATTGCCGATGACATGTTGGTTGTGCTTGGAGGGGGTTCAAGGGCAACTTGGGGTGTGCTCTGATGGTGGACCTTGCCCTCCGGTATGCCACGTCCGAGGAAGGTGTGTGTGTGTGTGTGCTTCTTTCGCCCCGATGACGTGCTGGTGTTGGCGGTTGACACCAGGCGCATGGCCGCCAATATTGGGTGTGTGCTTTTTTCCAGACTGTCATTGTGGCACGCACTCCTCCCCACAGCCACTCGCGCAAGGAGCAAGATGAGTGGTGGGAAGCCTTTCAGACCACCATCCGTGTCTGGGAACCGTCGTTAGAGGTTGTGGATGCCAACGCTAGGCTAGGCCATGAGGTTTCTCCCCTTTGTGGGGTCTTGCGGGGTTGTGGGGAAGGGAATCTGGCTTGTCAGCTTGTGGTTGACAAGTGATGGACCACCTCTGGGGCTGATGAAAAAACCCGCGGGGCGCGAAACATTTTTTGATCACGCGCGCCAGGGCTCGGAGAGTTCGGGGAACCACCGCGCCGCGGATGATGGCGACGGGAGCGGCGGCGGGAGCTCCGCTCGAGTGCGAAGCAGGGAAACAACGCGGCGGTGACGGCGCCGCCGGCCCCTGCCTTTGCCGCCCTTGCCTCCCGCCCCCCCCCCACTCTCCCAGTCCGTGTTGCCCCTGTCGCGTTCTCGCTGGCGGCCGCGGGCGTCGGCGCTAGTCACAGGCGCCGCCGCGTTGCGTTTCATTTTGGCGGGCGCTGGCGCGACCCCTCGACTCGCCTGAGCAGGGCAACCTTTTCTCAATCATACGAGCCCTGTTGATCTGTTAACCGCAAGCTGACATGCATGGTTAGCGCTAGTCTCAGGCGCCGCCGCGTTGCGTTTCATTTTGGCGGGCGCTGGCGCGACCCCTCGACTCGCCTGAGCAGGGCAACCTTTTCTCAATCATACGAGCCCTGTTGATCTGTTAACCGCAAGCTGACATGCATGGCTAGTTTTTCCACTACGTGCTCAAGGGGTCCACTCGTGTCGCCTTGAAAACCCTTGTTCCCCATGCCATCTGGTCCTACCCGTTTTCCTTCAGAAGGGCAAGCCCCGTTGCGTTGACCGCGCTGCAGAATCCCAGCGTTTTCGGGGGGGGTGCACGGCATTTGAATTTGACGTTGGGATCGATTCTTTCGGGGGAGTTGAAGATCACGCGCCTGTCATTGCCACTTTCATTTGTTTGTTTCCGGTGGGCCATTCGTCCGGATGCGCGCGAAGGCTTGTCACGGTAAGTTGGCGGATCCCGATTGCAGAGAGTTGATTCGTTTGGCCCCGAGCGAAGTCACGCCTTTGGAGTGGACCACGGATGCTTGTCACAATGCCGAGGCTGCCACCGAATGTTTGCAAGATGTTGTTCATGCTCTCAAGGCGGACCAGGGGAATCCAAGAAAATGCTACGTCTCACGTGCCACAGTGTGGATGGTGAAACGACGTAGGCTGGTCCACGAAGCCCTCAAAGCCGCTAGGGGAGGTAACGTCGTTCGTCTGGATATTTTGGGCCAGTATTGGATGCATGCCAGCCATGAAGACGAGCTGGGGATGAAAATCCTGGGCGCCACCGTAACAAAACATTTTTCGGAATGGTGTTGGCTTCGTGGCAATTTGGGGTTTATTTAATCGTTTCGCTCATTCCGCCGGCCCATATTGTCGCACCGTTGTGGGCTAGCCGAGTTTTGGGGCCTCTTGGGGGCCGTTTTGGGGCCTCTTGGGGCCTCTTTTGGGCCTCTTGGGCGCCTCTTGGGGCGTCTTGGGGGCCTCTTGGGGGCCTCTTGGGGCCTTTTTGGGGCCTCCTGGGCGCCTTCTGGGGCGGAGGGCTCGATTTTTCAGTTCTCGGTTCCCCTCTTGAGCCCCTCTTGGGCCCGTCTTGGGGCCTCTTGGTCCGTCTTGGGCGGCACTTGGGCCGTCTTGGGGGCCCTCCTGGGCCGTTCCGGGGCCGTCTTGGGAGCCTCGTGGGCCGTCTTGGAGCGGTCTTGGGGGCCTCTTGGGCCGTCTTGGAGCGTCCGGAAGCCGAAAAAGCCAGAACACAAAAAACATCGAAAAAACCAATGAAAATCAACGATTTTGGCCTCTTGGGGCTCTCTTCGGAGGCCTCTTGGAAGGCTCTTGGGGCGTCTTGGAGGCCTCTTGGGCTGTCTTGGGGGCCTTTTGGGCCGTCTTGGGGTCATCTTCGGCGTCTTCGAGCGCTCTTTGGGCGTCTCGGGGGCCTCTTGGGCAGTCTTGGGGGCCTCTTGGGGCACTCTGAGCGCGCTCTGGGGAGCCTGAGAGGCCGCACCCAGAAGGAAAACCATCTCTGAGTAGACTTGGTCGGGCGGCGGTCGGGCGGCGGTCGGGCGGTGGTCGGGGTACTTTTCGCCGGGGGACCCCCAGGGGCCGCCCCGCGCGCGCGAACTAGAAATACTGTTAATACTGTTAACCAGTTACCGGAGATCTTAGCACGCCCTGGCCCGTTGGGCCGGCGAATTCGGTCAACGATGCGTTGGCTGCCGCTCGTCAGTTTTTGGCTGTCTCTGCCCCCATCGCCAAGCAAGCCCTGGAAGGTGACAGGGCCAGACGTATTCGTTGTTTTGCGAGGGAGTGCGGAAACCAGTTATGACTGGGACCCTTGCCACCGCTGGGGGTGGCTCAAACGTCTCTTGATATTTGGTGATTCGGTGCCGCCAAAACAAGCAGTTAAGCAGGGCCCCGCTGCCGGCCCATGCGTAATATTGACGATGGTAAGCCTACTGCGTCCTTATAGGAACGGCAGAGGCTGTTGTTTGAGATGTTCGCTGAAACTCCAGATGCCCTGACGGTCAGTCGGGGCGAGGTCAGGAGTGACTCCAACGATTCTTGGGGCCCTCTCCACTCTGAGGGCGAGCGTGACCCCCGTTACCCTCCGACCTCTGCGCAGGCGCGTGCGAAGATATGACGTGTCGCGAAGGGCCGAACCCTTGGGCTGGATGGAGTGTCAGGCGAGCTCCTCAGGATCGACCCCGACGGTGCAGCCGCCCTCATCCACCGGCCCGGGGGGCTTCAGCATATTGGGGACCCAAGGGGATCAGATGAGACCTCGCCATATTTGGTGGGTTGCGACGTGTGCCTCGCCACTTTGGATCATACGAGTGCTCTCCCTGGAGGGGGCTGCGAAGTGTGAAACCGTCGCCACTTTCGAGGGCTGCTGGTGGGTCCACCGTATTAACAATTTCGAGGGTGGGTCACGCACACTGGGGTCCTTCGGGGATCTCATTAGACCTCGCCATACCTGGGGGCGCTGCAAGGAGTGAGTATGCCACCAATTTCGGGAGATGTTGCGGGGTCCAGCATAATGGGGTCGTAAGGGAATCATATTATAGAGATCGCCATACGTGGGGTGGCTGCGAAGAGTGCACATGTCACAAATTTCGACGGCTGCTGCGGGGTCCAGCGCAGTGGGGTCCAACGGGAATTTGGTTAGACCTCGCCATGCCTGGGGGAGGCTGCGAAGTGAAACTGCCGGTGCTTTCGTTGGCTGCTGGGGGTCCAGGGTAGTGGAGTCCTACGGTGATCAGATAAGACCTAGCCGTGCCTGGCGGGCTGCGAACTTCGGAAGTGTCGCCACGTTCGAGGGTGGGGGAAGGGGGGGCAGTATATTGGGGTCCTACGGGGATATGATTCGACCTCGCCTTCCTTGAGGGGCGCTGCGAAATTTCGCCGGTCGTCACTTTCGAGAGCTGCTGGGGGAGGGCGGAGTGGCTTCCTACGCAGGTTCAGGTTCGACTTCGCCATGCTTGGGGAGGGGCCGGAAAAGTGTGAAACCATCGCCACTTTCAAGGGCTGCTGGGCGGTCCGGCAGAGTGACGTCCTGCGCACATTCAGGCTAGAGTGGCGTCCTGCGCACATTCACACTTCGCCGCGCTCCAGTCTAGCCTGAATATGCGCAGGACGTCACTCTGCCGGACCGCCCGGCAGCCCTCGCGATGCCCGGGGACTGCGAAGTCTGCAGGAACGTTCTACGCAGATTCGGGCCAGACCTCGCCGTGGAGGAGGCCGTGCGCCCGTGCAGGCGCGGACGCTGTAGTTCTCCTCCTCCTCCTCCTCCTTCTCCTCCTCCTCCTCCTCCTCCTCCTCCTCGTCCTCCTCCTCCTCTTCCTCTTCCTTGCTCCTTTTTCCAGCCGCGCTTCACGATTTTAGCGGTTATGCGAGTATTGTTTTTGCACGGAGGGAGGGCTGCTCCTCCACAGCGCGGGGGCTCCCTCCACGGACAGTCGGCCGCTGGTCAGCACAAGGCTTGCGACGGCCCAGGACGGTCGCTGAGCGTGCCCTCCCCTCCTCCTCGCCCTCGTCCTCGTCTCCTCCTCCTCCTCCTCCTCCTCCTCCTCCTCCTCCTCCTCTTCCTCCTCCTCCTCCTCCTCCTCCTCCTCCTCCTCCTCCTCGGGTCGCCTACGGCACCTGGGGAAACCGTGCATTGTGCACCTGCCGCTGCTCGCGCTGCGGTTTGTGCCGGACGTTTGAGAAGTTGCGCGCCACGAGTACCGCAGTCAGCATGGCGCCGGAAAAAGAGGAGGAGGTGGAGGAAGAGGAGGAGGAGCAGGAGCAGGAGGAGGAACAGGAGGAGCAGGAGCAGGAGGAGCAGGAAGAGCAGGACGAGGAGGAGCAGGAGGAGGAGGAGCAGCAGGAGGAGGAGGAGGAAGTGTGAATTGTCGCAACTTTCGAGGGCTGCTGGGTGGCCCAGCGGATTGACGTCCTCGGCAGAATCATGGCGAACCTCGCCATGCGTTTGGGGCTGCGAAGTCTGCAGCTGTCGCCATTTTTGGAGGCCCCTCGTCGGGTAGCGGAGTGACGTCCTGCGCAGTGTGATATTGGACATCGCCATCCTTGGAGAGCTGCGAACTGCGGAACTGGCGCCACTTTCGATAGTTCCTGGGGGGGGAGCGGAGTGACGTCCAACGCATATCCAGATCAGACCTCGCCATCCCTGGGGGGCTGCGAACTGATAAACTGCTGCCATTTGCGAGGGCTGCTGGGGGGTCAGCGGAGCGACGTCCTACGCGGATTTTCACTGGACCTCGCCATCCTGGGGGGGGGCGCAAACTGCTTTCATGTATGAGGTCCAGCCAGTTTGTCCGGCGGTCCCGTCAGGCGAGTCCACCCTATTCGAGATATGAGACTCCCCGATAGTGGGGAGGAGGAGGAGTAGGAGGAGGAGGAGGAGGAGGAGTATGCCGTTCTCCTTGCCAGAATTTCAGCCCGCGCGGGATGTGCGCCATGGCTCGGGCACGTTTACGCACGTACACTCTACACGCATCGTTCTTCTCGAGGGAGAAACCAGCACAAGCATAGACGGACGGAACTCCGGCAACAGTTATATTTATGTAGTTGGTGTTATGCTGTGCATGCATGCATGCATGCACACACTATTATGATTCAGTCTCAGGGCCGTCGCTTTCTCTGACGTTGTCCCAGCGGCCTCGCCAGCTCATTGCAGTGTTCCTTCAACGCCAGCCAGCCCTCACGCGCGCACGCTCCGATCGCCTCCCCGCGGCCTGGCTGCCGCTGCCTTCTGTTGGATTGGAGACGTGCCGTGCGCCTGGCCGAACAGGCATGGCCTGATGACCGACTTCCAGATTCTGAAGGCGCCCGAGCCCCAGAGCCCCTCCCTACGCATGCAGGGGCGGAGGCGAGGGCGTCTCGAGAGCTGGAGAGGGGGGCCCGATCCGGGCACGCGGTCGCGGGCGAGGCGCACGGTAGAGCGGCGGGCGTGGACGCGGGCGAGGGGGGGCAGTTTCGGGGCGGCAGGGGCGGGGGTCAGTGCACGCGGGGGTCAGCCAGGGCACGACATTTGCAGAGCGCGACGCACGGGCAGACGGGGGAGTGGAAAGCGGAGGAGGAGCAGGACAACGGGGGGAGGGGGGAGGAGTAAGTGGGCATGGGGGGGGACGAGGAGGAGCTAGAGGAAGAAGATGTCGATTCGGAGTTTGAGGCGGCGGACAAGGATGAGGACGAGGAGGATAAGGTAAAGGAGTTGGATTGGGAAGAGGGGGGATAATGATAATAAGATTGATAATGAGGATCAACAGCATAATCAGGATGCCTTAATTCGATTACCCGTCATATTCTGCAAGATAGCATAGGGACCTTGGTCACCCCGCTGTCAAGAAAGCATTGCTTGGGATGCTCGAACTACATGTTCGGACCAAGGGGGTCGCACCTTCAGCAAAGTAGGATGAACACGCACAGGACTGGGTCGTAGAGTTAAGGACATGAGAAGTATTTTGCCACTGAGTTACCACGCTGCTGTGCTGCTGTGGGCCAGGCTTGCTGAGCTCTCAAAATAGAAGAATGCAGAGGTGGAACAGGAGGGGCGAGGACGAGGAGGAGGAGCAAGAAAAGGAAGACGAGGAGAAGGTGGAGGTGGACAAGGTGGACAAGGTAGAGGAGGAGGAGGAGGAGCAGGAGGAGGAGGAGGACGAGGAGGAGGAGAGGAGGAGGAGGAAGAGGAGGAGGAGGAGGAGGAGAGGAGGGGGGGAGGGCGAAGGAGGAGGTGTAGGAGCAGGAGGAGGAGGACGAGGAGGAGTAGGGAGGAGAGGGAGGAGGAGGAGGACGAGGAGAAGGAAGGAGAAGGGGAGGAGGAGGAGGAGGAGGAGAGAGGAGGAGGAGGAGGAGGAGGAGGACGAGGAGTGATGAGGGGCCCTCTGGGCCCGCTGCTGGCAAGAGCGGTGGGCCCGGCAGAGCCCCAGCCGCCCGGCAAGGAGGTGATCGCGCTCAGCCCGGGCACCTTCGGCCTGGCCCTGTTCTCCGGTGCCTTCGCCATGGTGTACAACATCCTCCTGTACAACATCGTCACATGGAGGAAGGGAGAGGAAAGAGGAGGAGGAGGAGGAGGAGGAGGAGGAGGAGGAGGAGGAGGAGTAGCAGGAGGAGGAGGAGGAGCAGGAGGTAGGAGGAGGAGGAGGAGGAGGAGGAGGAGGAGGAGGAGGGGGAGGAGCAGGAGGAGGAGCAGGAAGAGGTGGAGGAGGTGAAGGAGAAGGAGGAGCAGGAGTAGGGGGAGTAGGGGCGGCGGGGGTGTCCTGGGCATCGCTCGGACGTGTGCATTGTTTCTCGGCGGGGACCGTCGAGGAGCATCCTGGATCATCGAGCCACAACCGCACGAGACCGACAAATGTCCGAGCGATGGCAAGTGTCGGGCGGCTCCCGATCACAGGGCACCCGCGGCCAAGGGACCCGAGGCGAGGAAGGAGGATCGAGGAGCTGGCCCTGCTTGGTCTCTGGATGCCTCCCGAGGCCTCCCGAACACTGCGCGTCGTGGGCGGCCAAGATGGGGGGTGATGACTGGGGGGCGGGGTGGGCATCATAGTCAGGGCTATGATCTCTCCGCGGATTCCATGGCCCCTCCTCCTCCTCCTCCTCCTCCTCCTCCTCCTCCTCCTCCTCCTCCTCCTCCTCCTCCCGCGAGTTCTCCCTGCGTTGTATCAACGGGTTGGTCGCTGAGGACTTTGATGACATGGTCGACGCCATCGTGGGCCGTGCAGAGGACCTCACTAGGGCAGCTCGCTCAGAATCTGAGCGCGCGTGGCGCAGCTGGGCCCATGCTGTTTTCAGCGGAGGTGCGAGAGCAGCCCACGCCGCCTCCATGGCACGGGCTCGCCAAGAGCTGGTTGCTCCCGAGGCCAATGCCCAGCCTTACATCCTAGCTGACCGCACCATGTGTGAGTGGCAGACGATCGGGGAGGCGCATGGGTTAGAGGCGTTGCAACTCCCAGTGGATTCGCACTCGTGGGATGCGCTGCCGAGCCTGACGGCCCATGACCTACGGCAAGCCATCGGTTCTTTCTCTGCCTCCGGCGTCGGGGCCTACTCGGATCCCCCCGAAGGCATTGGAGCACCTGTCGGATGAAGCTCTCAGGAGGCAGGCGAGAATGTTCGAGATCTTCGAGCAGCATCTGAGGTTTCCGTCTGACCGCATGTGCAGCGATATGGCGCGCCTACCAAAGCCTGACGGTGGTCACAGGCTTATCGTGCTCAGCCACACTCTCATAAGGGTGTGGGCTAGAGCGCGACGAAGGCTGTCGGCAGCATGGCAGCAGCGGCACCACTGTGACGAAATGTGGGGCACACGAGGTAGCCACACCTCCACAGCTTCGGCCTTCGCTCACAACTTGGAGCAAGAAGTTGGGAGCCTCATAGGTGACCACACTTGCACAATCCTTCTGGACATGGTGAAGTGCTTCGACATGGTCAGCCCGCACGCGCTGATGAGTGAGGCGCGCGCGTTGGGCTACCCGCTGCGGCCTCTGTGGATGCTGCTGCAGCTCTACCAGCAGCCGAGGCGTATTAAGGCATATGGCAGCCTATCGCGTCCAGTTGTGGCCTTCCAAAGGCGCCAACGATCAAACCGCGGTCCCTGGTCGATAACATCGGACTTCAGATGGTCTCTCCTGGCCTCGGCGATGTCAAGCGGTGCTGCGCATAGCGATGGTGCTCACGGCGGAGGCGAGAGACCTTGGGCTTGTCCTGCAACCAGCCAAGTCGGCGGTGGTGGCGGGATCGGCTCAGGTCCGCCTTGTCGTGCACAGGGTCCAACAGCGGTTGCCGCGAGCTGTGCCGCAGGCCCGCCACATGCGCAACCTTGGTCACGAGCTGCACGGGCCGCGCGTGCTTCGAAGGATTGAGAAAAAGCGCGCGCGTGCCATGCGGGTGCGCAAGCGCCGACTCCTCCTGATGCGCAGAGCGGTGGGGCGCAAGGCCTCTACCCTCTGGCGCACAGGTGTTATGCCGTCGGTGGGACACGGCGCTGGCGTGTCGGGGTCGGCCGATGCACCTTTGAGGGAAATGCGCAATTTCGCAGCGGTCCTGGTGGGAGAAGTGACAAACACCATGTGGGCGTCACTGCGCACCTACCCACCCACGCGTCGGACGAGCACGACCCCATCTACCATGCCACCATTGACCTTGTCTTGAACTATGCTGCTTGGGTATGGGATGGGCGCACCTCCACTAGTCGACTCCAAAGGGCTTGGACGGCGCTCCATGAGCGACTTGTCCCTATCAGTTGGGCCAATGCGAAAGGCCCACTGGCGGCCACCTGGCTAACGCTGCAGCGCCCAGCGTGGGATATGAAGGCCCCGCACGTTTTGCAAGACGACCTCGGCAACCAGTACGACCTCTACCGCGTCTGCCCTGCTGACCTTCGACCGTTCCTTGCGGCAGGTGTGCAGAGGTGGCAGCATAGCCGCCTCACCCGCCACGTGTATTCCCATGCGGGCGCTCCCACCTGGCACCGTGGCTCAGGCATGCGGTCAAAGGGGTCCGGGTCACGCGCCAGTCGGGGGCCTTACAGGCGTTGTGGTCTGACAACATCCCCACGCCCATCCGCAGGGGCATGAAGCTTGGCAGGCCCATGCGCCCTTGTCAGGCTTGTGGGAAGGACCTGGGGCCTGGCGACTGTTGGGGCCTTGTTATCTTGGAGTGTCCCGCGCTGATGACTCGTCTTCCTGCTGCGGCCTTGTGCCCACTGGGCTCGGCGGGGAGTAGCGGACATCGAAACGCAACGCTGGGGGGCCAGCTGGCGCCCAGCGATGCCTCGCAGCAGGAGCGGCATCTGGAGCTGGAGCCGACGGACCATGTCCAAGGCCTCCTCGAGAGTCGGGTTGGCGGACCTCCAAACGCAACGCTTGGGGACCAGCGGGCGCCCAGCAGCACAGTGGAGCAGGAACGGCCTCTGGCGCAGGGGCCAACGGACCATGTCCAAGGCCCCCTTGGGAATCTGAACGACCCGACCCTGCCGCAAACCATCTGGGCCAGGCACTCCAGCATGATGGAGGATGAGGACGATTTCTTTCCTGGGGTCGGCCATGGCGATGCTGGCGATACAGACGAACTACCGCCTGACGCGGTGCAGCACCTCCAGGGGCAGGCAGAGTTGCGCGGGCATTTCGACGCGGAGGCTCTGCCGGCGGCACGTGGCGAGGCCCCCCCCCCCCCCGCGCCGCGACTGCTGCGCTGACCGACCTGTCCAGCGTGGCGGCAGAGGTGGAGGATACTCTACATTCCAAGCGCGGCAAGCGGCAGCGACGAGGGCGCGGTCTCTCTGACCTCCCACGCGCATTGGAAGAGGTACGGGATCAGCTTATCCAAGCGGGTCTTGGCTCGGGCATGCCCAACTTCGAGCAGCCCCACCTCGTCCACGGAGTGCCAGGACCTCCTGCCTTCCTGCCGCAACCATGTCTGCGGAAGAGCGAGGTTTACTTCTGGGGGGGCGCGCGCGGCCAGTGGGGCTCCACCTCATACGCCGACGGGTCTGGATGCGACTCAGGCGTCCCTGAAGCACGACGCTGTGGGCAGGCTGCGGTTCAGCTCGACCCGACATCGTGGCTCCCAGTTAGAGCGCGCGATGGGCCCCTGACGCACCTGGCGCGAACGGTCGGCCGCGCCGAGCGGTATGCCATCAAGGAAGGCCTCGAAGCATTCCCCGATCATCAGCGCTTCGTCACCGACCTGCTGGCACTACACGCCAGGGCGTGGCGAGACATCGTCGGAGCCAGCCGCAGGCGTACCTTGACGTACCCTCCCAAGTTCCGATGGGCGCCCGCCCGCAGATCCCTGGACGAGCAGGTCGACAACGGCCCTTTGGAGCTGCGAGACTGGCTATGCAACGGATGGGCGGGCTACTTTGCGAGATGCGGTGCGGCTTATCATGCCCTCGCCGGGTCTGTTGTCGAGGCTGTCGCGGCGGCCCTCAAGCAGCACCGCAAAGTCCTGCAGTTCATCTCCTGGGCGGCGTTGCAGGTGGCGGTGCGCAAACGATGGGGGATTGATGGGGAGATCCCCAAGCCGCCAAGCGAGCAGGTGAAGCCCACTGTGGTGGCTAGAAGCACGGACCATGTCCTAGCCTTCACTGCGCACCTTGGGCGGTATCGATGCACCTCGTGCGGCGCGACGGCCACAACTGGGTCCTCGCTCGACTCGCTACGTTCTGGGTCACTGCGTGTCTGCCGACCCACGCGCGTGGCTGCGGCCCTCGACGCCGAGTATTCCCGCGACTTCGGCGACGGCTGGGTCTACTACCGAGATTAGAGGGTCGGCGTGGCGCTTGGCGCGGCTGCCGCTGTCGATGGGGACCCGCAGCCCATGCTCCCCGAGACGCTGCCGCGGCACATGGCAGTGACTGAGGAGGCGACTGTCGCCTTTGCCGCGCTGGGGCACGACATCTTCAAGGGTGGCACCGTGTACTGCTGCAGGCGCTGCGGTGCTCACTGCGTCGCAGGGGATGTCCGCTCCGTGCGCGAGCTCGGCTTGAAGTGCGAAGGGCTCTCGCTGAATGAGTCCACGCGTCGCAATCAACAGGGCGCGATTGGGCGGGTCGAGCGGGGACTTGCGCCTCGAGCACGCCGACCCCCAGCGGTGCCTGGGGTGCGGCGCTAATTCATCGGGCCCGTGCTCGCGATGATCCGACCATGTCGGTGATTCGTTGTACTTTTGTGCCTGGGTTGTGGCTCGACTCCCTCTACGTTGGCGTCGGCTTCGACCTGCTGGGCGGCTACTTCTGGTCGCTCGGCTTCAATGCGTCCGGTTGTTCCTTGGCACCTGCGTCGTCGGCGTCGGCAACAACATGCTGGGCTACCTCTCGCTGGTGCTCAGCCTCTACCTTGTCGCCTTCTCTTACGGCATCGCGCCGCGAGTCGGCGGCGCCAGGCGGCAGCCCGCCGCGCGCCCGCGGCCGCGGGCGCGCGACGGGAGACCTCGCCTGAAGCGCTCCTCCTCCTCCGCCTCCTCCTCCTCCTCCTTTCAACACGTCCCGTGGTGCCCCAAGGCCGGGCCCATGCTCGCAGATAGACTCGCGCCCAGCCTCGTGGCCGGCTGCGCCCCCCCCCGTGCGGCCGCGGCCCAGGCAGAGCTGCCTGCCGCGAGGGCGAGGGCAGGGCCGCGGGTCCGCCGAAGGGCCCTCGCCGCCGAAGGGCCCTCGCCGCCGAAGGGCCCTCGCCGCCGAAAGTCCCTCGCCGCCGAAAGGCCCTCGCCGCCGAAGGGCCGTCGCCGCCGAGGGGCCCTCGCCGCCGAGGGCCTCGCCTCCGAAGGATGGCCCCCCACCGCCGCCGGGAGGGCCCCGAGGCAAGCGGGCCTCTTGAGGGGTCTCTATCTCTCTCTCTCTCTCGCGCCGGGCTCGGCTCGCCCAGGCTCAGAGATCCGACGTTCCGAACAAAATTGACCGCTTTCGGCCTCCAGGGGCCCTCGCCCTCCTCCTCCCCCTCCTCCCCCCCCTCCCCCTCCCCCTCCTCCTCCCCCTCCTCCTCCTCCTCCTCCCTCCTCCTCCTCCTCCTCCTCCTTCTCCTCCTCCCCTCCCTCCTCCTCTCCTCCTTCCTCCTCCTCCCTCCTCCCTCCCTCCTCCTCCTCCTCCTCTCCTCCTCCCTCCTCCTCTCCTCCGCCTCCTCCTCCTCCTGTCCTCCTCCTCCTCCTCCTCCTCCTCCTCCTCCTCCTCCTCCTCCTCCTCCTCCTCCTCCTCGGGACCGTCAAAAAACAGCTCAAGACGAAAAACCTGCCCTAGGGAAGTGGTCCAGACCCTCGGGGCCCACGCATCGAACAAAAACCAGCAGCCGGACGTCTGGGTCTCTCACGCTGCGCTCGGTTCGCTTGGGAGCCCGGGCCCAGGCCTCCCCAGATCTCCGACGTTCCTTGCTGCCGGCGCTTCTCCTCGATTTCGGTGCATGCGGGGGCGGTCTTCCGCATGCTGGAGAGTGCTTTTTATTCCTGGGCGGTAACGGGCGCTCCTGGGGGGGGGGGGGCAGGGAAAGGGGGCCGGTAACGCCACATTTCGCGCCGGCGCTGTCTGGGAATGTGTGGGAGCAACCACAGCCAATTTGGAGGTCAGCACGAATCGTGACGTCATCTGGGGGTAGGGGGGCGGCGGCGGGGACCGGTAATGGCCGCCATCGCGAAGCATAAAAAACTTTTCCTGAGGCGCCTACGGGCCTCGTCGCAGCGTGCGATCGCAAACCAACCACGTTTGTGGACACGGACGCCCACCAGCTCAAGAGACGCACTCCTAGTTTTCCGACGAACCGATTTTTGCGGAATCCTTCTCAGGATGGAGAATTTCGAAGAGGAGAAAAACGAGGACGACGACGACGACGACGACGACGACGACGAGGAAGAGAAGGAGGAGGAGGAGGAGGAGGAGGAGGAGAAGGAGGAGAACGAGGAGAACGAGGAGAACGAGGAGGACGAGCAATACGGGGAGAAGAGAAGGACGAGGAGGACCAGGAGGAAGAGAAGGAGCTTCCAAGAGGAGAAACACTGCAAAACACAAACTTTCGGATCTCCACGCGGGCCTCTTGGATCGGCGCTGGGCCCCCTTTGGCGACTCTGGCATGGTCCCAGGGGATGCCCCAACGACTCGGGATGGAGAGCCAGTCCAAGGCGTCGGCCTCCTCGACTGGCTTCTTTCAGGATCCCTGCCCTCATGCCGAGCAGGGTTTTGGGGGGACGGGAGAGCCAGGGCGAGGGGAGGGAGGGAGAGAGTAGGGCACAGGAGCAGTGTGAGGAAACTCCCCGAGGGGGGAATCCAGATCATCCCTCCTCCTCCTCCTCCACCTCCTCCTCCTCCTCCTCCTCCTCCTCGTTCTCCTCGTACTCGTACTCCTCCTCCTCCTCCTCCTCCTCCTCCTCCTCCTCCTCCTCCTCCTCCTCCTCCTCCTCCTCCTCCTCCTCCTCCTCCTCCCCCGCTGTTGCTCTCCCTCCCGCCGCAGGTCCAGACGCTGTCCCCCGCCTTCTCCGCGTTCACGTCGAACTTCAACAAGGCGGCCACGATCGCCCTGTCGGTGCTGCTGGGCTTCGAGGTCCTGCCGAAAGCGCCGTGGGGCACCTTGGGGACCTCAAGCATGCGCACCCGAAGGAGGAGGAGGAGGGAGGAGGAGGGAGGAGGGAGGAGGAGGAGGGAGGAGGAGGAGGAGGAGCAGGAGGAGGAGCAGGAGGAGGAGGAGGAGGAGGAGGAGGAGGAAGGCATGGCGCACCGGCACCCGAAGCGGAGCAGGCTGCGCAGGAGCACAGTCTCCGGGGGAGCTCCGCGCGGACTTCCCGGGTCGGCGCCCGGGCCCCCTGGCGGCGCCTCTGGCGCCGCGCTCCGCGCGCCGGGGAGGAGGGTCCAGCGCGGAGCCCGGGAATCCGCGCGGACCGCCGAAAGTTCTTTTCGCGCGGCTGCAGCCGCGCGAAAAGAACTTTCGGTCTGCCGCTCCGGAAGAAAAGGACTTCGCGCGACAAGGATTTCGCGCGAAGTCGAAGGAACGGAACATGTTCCGCCGGGGAGGAGGGTCCAGCGCGGAGCCCAGGAATCCGCGCGGACCGCCGAAAGTTCTTTTCGCGCGGCTGTTCCGTTCCTTCGTCTCGCCGCCAGACCACACAGTGACTGGCGTGTGGGCCCATTGGCCCAGACTGGGGCCATGGAAGCGGCTCACACCGGCGTGCCAGTGCATGAGTTGTGGTGGGCGACGATGAATGGAGAGAAAGCATGTTGCCAAATACTTCCCACGTGTCTAAAACATGTTTTAAATCCGTAAGGGCTTCGCCCTGCCGCCGGCCCCCTGTCTCGGATAATGGGAGATGCAAAAGCTGAATCATGAGGTCTGGGCGCCGCCGTGAAGCAGTGTCGGGACCTGTTTGTGTTTCTACCCTGGCCCTACAGATCTGCGTCACGGATGCCACCGAATTTCAGAAATGTGGCAAATCCTTTGTGTTCCTGGACCCTGACCCTACGGAGGATCTGCGTGAGGGGTGCCGCCGAATTTCAGAAATGTGGCAAATCCCTTGTGTTTTTGGACCCTGACCCTGCCGATCTGCGTGAGGGGTGCCGCCGAATTTTAGAAATGCCTAGTGTTTTTGGACCCTGCCCCTGCCGATCTGTATGAGGGGTGCCACCGAATTTCAGAAATGTGGCAAATCCTCTGTGTTTTTGGACCCTGACCCCGCCGATCTGTGTGAGGGGTGCCACCGAATTTCAGACATGTGGCAAATCCCCATTGTTTTTGGACCCTGACCCCGCCGATCTGCGTGAGGGGTGCCAGCAAATTTCAGACATGTTGCAAATCCCATGTGTTCTTGCACCCTGACCCCGCCGATCTGCGTGAGGGGTGCCACCGAATTTCAGAAATGTGGCAAATCCCTTGTGTTTTTGGACCCTGACCCCGCCGATCTGCGTGAGGGGTGTCAATGTTTACCCACCCCAGCAATTCAGAGCACACGCTCAGGGCGTGGTAAAAATACCCGTTTTGGGCCTCCCCCCCTCGCGCGGTCGTCCATCAACAAGGAACAGTAAGCAGCAAGAAGTCAACAAGGAACAGCAGTAAGCAGCAAGAAGCAGAACTGTAACAGTGGAAACTGGAAGCTGCAACTAGTACATGAAACTGCGAACCTTCGCCCTACAGCCTGGTGGCCCCACAAGGGGGCCGGCGGATATTTCATAAACATGTAAACCACATATGTTCAGCATGTGTCGATATTTTTCAAACAGTTTGAACGCGCTTTCAATCAAATTATGTGTCCACTGTCATGGCATCCACAAATAAAGTTGACGATCTCCTAGGCATGGTCCAGGTGTTTGGCATCATAGGCAACATGGTGGCGTTCACCGTCTACGGCCTCTACAAGGCCCGCGGGCTGTGACAGCAGTCAGTCAGCATGACTCGGAGGGCCCGGGGCGAGTCTCAGACCTCCGACGTCTCGATGTTGACATTAGGCCGGGCCTTGGCGAAGAATTCAAAAGAGTCAAACATATTCAAAAAGAGTCAAAAATAGTTTTACAAAAATCGTCGCCTGACTATTTTTTGACTGTTCTTGAATGTTCCTCCTGTAGAGGGACACGCCCGACTTAATGTTGACACTGCGGCGCCCCCGGAGTGCTGACCTCGCGGAGGCCAGCGCTTCGTCCCAGATCGTTTTCTCTCGGTGGTCCCGGGGCCCGGCGAGGGCCCCCCCGGCGCCGAAAAGTCGGCGAGGAAGGGTCGCACCGATGTGCTCGTGGGTTCGATACGTTGGAGGCTTGGGCTCGAGGGGAGGGGGGGCACAGCGGGCTCGGAGCATCACGGATCACTGGTTGGGATCCTGTCGGCGTCGCCCAGGGAACCTTCTGCTCGCGTGTGCGTCGCACCCGGGAGGGCGAAGCGCGCGCTCCGAGCTCCTGCAGCACACGCTCGCCGGCGGGCGCTCTCTGGCCACACCGCTGGGGTTACGACATGCCAGAAGACTGCTGCACTGCATGGCCTGGTCGGACGCACGCCTCCAACAAGGACAGAGTACTAGTGTGTCCCTCTGCGTCCCACCCTGGGGCAAAGGAGGAGGAGGAGGAGGAGGAGGAGGAGGAGGGCGGAGCTCGCCGAGAGTGCTGCCGACACTGTTCCTCGGCGCCCTGGACCGAGGGGGAGGCGGAGGACGAGCAGGATGAGCAGGAGCAGGAAGCAGGAAGAGGAGCAGGAGCTGGAAGGCAAAGTCTACCTGCTTCTAGACGGGCAACGTCTGGGGCATATGCCACATGCCGCTGTCGCTTTCTAGCCACAAGCGTCTATAGACACATTGGGTGGCGTTACGTATACAGACACACATTTGGGGTGGATACGTCTAGAGACAACGCGGCGGTTGCGTTCGGCGCAGTACAAGGGCGAAGAAAGGTATGGTCCTGCTCAAAGGTACTTCAAAGCAGGAGGAGCCTTCCTCCCCCTCTTCCTCCTGCCCCTCCTCCCTTCCCCCAGCGCTTGCGCAACTCGTCACTGGAGGGGGTTGTTGGGGGCGTCCTCGAAAAAAGGGGGGCCTTGGCCTCGTTGCGAAAGCTCGCTGTAGACGTCCTTACACGCCTGACCCTGATTGTCACCTATCCTAAAGAGGGACGGTCGGAGGACATCGAATTGAGATAACGGCAGTTGGCCTTAAGGGGGGGCCGCTCGTAGCCACGGCTGGACGCATCTCTGTAAGTTAATGCGTTTGGACCCTGGAAGGTCGGAGTCGGAGGGGGAGGAGGAGGTCCCACCCGCGGTCACCGCACCAGCTGCGGTGGCAGCACGCACCAGTCTGCTACGACGCTCTCGACGCAGCCATGCCGCTCGTGCGCCATTCCTGCAAGCGCAAAAAAAAAAACATAATCACCACAGATGGTGCATGCAATGAACTGCTGGAAACTCCTTCCGAAAACGTTTGTTGGTGATCCTCCTCCTGTTAATGACTGGCCTCTTAGTGGACGCAACGTTGGCAAGAGTACTAGCAAGAATGGCTCCGCTAGTCCCGCCAATCTGCTCGACGGGCAGCAGGTCGAGGCTTTGCACTGCCATGTCCGAGGAGCACTACGGCAATGCGGCGCCGCTGCTCACCCATGCCCAGCGCAACCAGGTCGCAGCGCTGTTTGCTCAGCGCAGCGGCGACCCAAATGCTGTGTCCGAGGCCGCCCAGATGCAGCACGGAAAGCTCAACGCCAAGTTCGTCGCCATCGACAACAAGCTTTCGCGCGCCGCCGAAGTTTTTTCAGAAACAGCTGCAGCGCGTTGTGGAGCTGCGCCTCGAGCAAAAGGCGCTCCAGGAGAAAGAGAAGCAGGCTGCGGCGCGGCCGCAGCAGGCGTTTACGCAGATTGCAGGCGATGCGGCGCAGTTCGACGAAGAGTCCCCCGAGAAGGCCATGTTCCAGAGGTTCCAACGGTTCGGCCCCAGCCTGGCCATGCAGTTCCGGCAGTTGCTTTCAGCCAAGGCGCAGGTCGAGAGCAAGCAGGCTGCACTGATGGCGGCGAGTGCACCGCCGACGACAGTTGCAGCTGTGGCGCTCCCCGCCGTTGAAACAGCTGCTGAGGCTATTCATGCAGTGGGTAGCACGACCCGTGGCAACAGCGATGACGACATGGACATCGATGACTCCTGGGCCGACGATGTTCGTAAGGCGGCCACCGTCGAGCACAGCATCATCGCCTCCCTCTCCAGCGCCAACGTGGCTGAGACCTCGCCGTCGCCAGCGGGTCGACGCCGACCAGGTGCAACTGGCGCTCGAAGCCCAAATCTCCTGTTGCACTGGAAGGCCGCCAACGTCAGGGCTCGCGCTCGCCGCGCAAAGAGGGGAGCGTGTCCTAGCCCCTCTTAGATCCAGAAGGCTCGATGTTGGCGTTTTGGTATTAACACTATTTTTGAATATTACACTCTTGAGAAAGCTGCGAGTGGTTTTTCTGGTTTCGACGTGCCTTGCATGCAGGAGACCCACATAGTTTTGGACGTTGATTACTCGGTGGCGTCTCTTCGTTGCGACGGGAGGTCTGCGAAGTTGTTATCAGCCACTTCCTCAAATAATGGGGGTGCGTCTGGAGGTCTACTCACCGGGGTCCCTAAACGCTTTCCTGGAGTCTACCACCCTCGAGATGTCCCCTGGGCGCTGTTCGCTACTGCGCGTCGGGGCATGGTCAAAGGGGGTCTTCATTTGGGGAGTTTGCATCTGAAGGATCGAGGTAACCTTCCAAATTGCAAGTGGAATATAACTTACTCGGGTCGGTTACGCTCTCAAAGGCCCATGTCCCCTTGGTGCTAGCAGGTGGCCGGCAGGTAGAGCCGCGCCAGCTCGAAGCGTCAGGCTGGGCGCGGGCTTAAGATGCAGAGAGTGCGGATTCGCGCGCCTGCTGGGCGCGCCATAGATTATTTCGTCGTCTTCTCTAACCTCCTGGGCAAGTACCCCGCTCAGGTTGTAGACGACGCGCCCTTCCCGCCTCGCTCGCCGCTGCTAGCGGCGCGCTGGTTCGCTTGAGTCAGGTGAGCGGTCGCAGTAGATACTAGGTGGTGGGCTTTCATCGCCGCCCCGGGGCTCGAGTGGGCTCGGGCCCCCCAGTTGCCGCCAGATGAAGATTACGAATATCGCGGGCGGGTCGCGCCGCTCAAGCCTCGCTTTCAGTCCGCGCGCCGACCGCGGCAAGTCTGCCCCGCGAGGCTGTCGGCGCCCGCGGTCCGGGGAACAATAAGGTGTCTCTCGCTCTCGGTGGCCTCGCCGGGGCCCAGGGCTAAGTTTCGGAGAAGCTTCAGTCTTCGACGTCAAGTATAAATGGGCCCCGCGCGCTCTCCAAGCCCCGCGCGGCGCCCCGGGCCCTCGCACCTCGCGCGCCAATGTTCTGGCCAATAGTGCTCAAGTGCCTGGTGATATCGCTGAGGTTTCTTTCGTGTGTGAGCTGATCGAGCTGCTCTAGATCAGCATCGGGAGTCTGGTCGCCGCGAAGTGGAGCGGCGGCGGGAATGGATCGACGCCCACCCCGTCGATGGCGCGCCCGCTCTTCCCCCTTCCTTCTCGGCGCAACCTACTGGCCGGCAGCGGGGCATTGCGGGCCGCCGCGCGCCGAGGCCCGCCAATTCGCAAGAGGAGGTAGACATCTCGCAAAAGGAGCGGGGCGGGGGGGGAGGGCGAAAGGCGCGCGCCGAAAGACGACCCCCGGAGTGGCCTGCGCCCTTGGGAGATCGACCCGACCCGCCCCCCCCCCCCCCCACACACACACACACACACGCACACACATGCACACACACACGCACGCACGCACACACACACACACACACACACACACACACACACACACACACACACACACACACACACACACACACACACACACACACACACACAACACACACACCACACACACACACACACACACACACACACGCACACACACACACACCACACACACACACCACACACACACACACACACACCACCCCACACCACCCCACACCACCCCGCACCCCACCCCGGCTTCGGGGTTTAAAGTTGACGCTCGCCCCCTCCCAGTCGGAACAGGTTCTGGAATTGATCGGGTCAGCCCGGGGAACTTCTTCTCTTCCTCGACCCAGTTCTGGAGACTTCCCGTGATTATTTCGCGCATCGGGCGGCGCCTAATCTGGCCCCAGACGCGCGGCGGCCCGGAGGCGTTCGGCCTGTCGGCTTGCTGCGCATTCCCTGCCGCCCGCGGCGCCCGCTCAGCAGCGCGCGGCAGCGCCGCAACTCCAGGCGCGCCCGGTGGTCAGCAAGATGGAGATCAGCGGAGAAGCGCGCATGGATCTCCAGCGCCTGGCCATCCAGGGGCACCGTTGTGGGGCCATCTTCTGGACCTGAAGAGATCCTTCGAATACGTGCAACATCGCCACCTATTACAGGCCGCCATCGACTCGCATGTTTCGCATTGGCAGATTCGCATATGGACTGAAGTTCACAGGGCGCCGAGGGCGCTCGATGTCCGAGGGGCGTGCGTTGAAATTATAGGGGCACGGCAGACGGCGGTTCCGGGTGCATTTTCTCCACGCCGATGCTCCAGTTACTACTTCTCCGACCCGTAGAGGGGGTCCAAGCTCCACGCCGCTCGGTCGTTCTAGCAGTCCGCGTTAATGATTTGCCCCGCGGTGCTTCGGCGGCGAGGAGCGCGCTGGGGATGAACTTGAGCAGTCGGCCAATCGCATCGCTCCAGAGTTGCGCGAAGTGGACATCCAGCTCGCGATAGCCAAGGGGCGGGCTCTCAGCTACTCGAGGCAACTTCGACAAGGACTCGCTCGAAATCTTCGGCGCATCAGAAGTCCGGCCGCGGTGGCCGACAGCAATGGTCGACTTCGCCGCTGGAAGGATGCCACCACGTCGCGCTACTACTGCGCGCTCA